GTCCCCACTCCCAGATGCAAAGAAGTATGTTGTAATATTGGTTAGTGTTCCCTAGGGAGTTCAGTGAAAGGAGGGGGTGCTGCTCAGTTCAGATGGGTAGCTGTGTTCATCTGTAGCGGCAAAGTAAACCAGGAGTCCAGTGGCACCTAACAAATTCTATTCCATCAGCTTTCTGTCAGAGCTCACACCATCAAATGCGTCAGTGAAGTGATACTGTAAAATCTTGTCCAAAGTTTACGGAGACAAGAATTGAAAAGGCACAAAAAAATCAGAAAAGGTCCATCTTTATGGAGCAGATTGTAGGCTTGCCAGCTCTTGGCTGGGAAATACCTGGATATTTGGGGGGGTGATGGAGCCTGAGGAGGTCGGGGTTTGGGGAGAGGAGGGGAGGAGCTTCCATGGAGTACAATGCAATAGAGTCCACCTATGAAGGCAGTCATTTTCTCTGCTTGTACTGATCTCTGTCACCTGGAGATCAGTTGTAATAGCAGGAGATTGCCAGCTCCCACCTGGAGGTTGGCACCCCTAAGCAGATGTGAAGGAAGAATGTGGGACACAACCATGCAACAGACTCTGAATGCTGTGGGGAGGAGCAACTGGAGGTGTTTTGGCACATCAGGTGCTCTCCTTTCATGTGCCATCCTGCTGGGTACAAAGCCATCAAAGCCCCGGAGCAGGAGGCAGAGGCCTATTCGAGTGGCTTTAATCTCTCAAGATATGTCCTATCTGCCCTTCACATCATCAATCAGACAAAATGAGCAGCACTTCAAAGGACTTCTTCAGTTTACAAAGTTGTCATGCTTATCTACATTATTTAAATTACACCAATATTAATTTTGGAGCAAGAAAACAACTTATGACAAATTCTAGACAACAAAATCTTATCGAGTAACAAAGTGGAGCGTCTGAAGAACCCCCCCCCCCTAGACCACAAACCTGCCTCTCCACTAAGGTTGCTTAATAAAGCCCTTCCTTTGAAGTTCTTGCTGTCAAGAAGGAGGAAGTCAGTTACAAATGGCTAGGAGGCCTTTTTAGTGGTGGCACTGTTATCACACGATAAGGTGTGTGCCTTTATCTGACTCCTGTTTGGGATCTTTGATTCTATTGAATAAAAGCATGCTCGAATGAGATACCCCCCAAAGACATTCAAAGAATCAACCTGATTTATGGAGAAGATATCAACAGAGGATGGAAATGGAGGAAGAGTTTTACTTTGCAATATAACAGTGAAATATCCTTTTGGGTCCAGCCGAACTGACAATACCACATCAGGAAAAAACAGGGTTATGGCAGCCCTCCCAGGGCTAGGAATGTGCCAGGCCAGCAGCTCTCAGGGGGTATGGATGCGTGTACAGAGAGAGACCAGGTGGGAGTTCAGAGGGAGGGAGACAAAGATCAGTGTAGGCAGGGGTCATTTCGTAGAAAAAGAGCTAGGGGGACTCATTAGCATAACTCATTAGCATATGCCACACCCCCTGACATCACCGGAAGTGTGCCCTCCCCACAGCCGGCGGCGACCTCCAGCGGGCACCAGCAGGGAGCTCCAGGCCCCGCCCTCCCGCACCTCACCCGGGGGGATGGCGTCCCCCCGCGTCCCCCCCCAAATGACCCCTGCACCTTGCATTAATGAAGGTCTCAGCTAAGTTTATTTCTATTCATTGCAAAACTTATGTATTGATTGAACACACACTTCAAACCTACCAAAATAGGCAGATAGCTATATGGGAAAGAAAGCATTTCCAGCAGTCAGTATGAATGGAACAAGACAAGTGAAATGCATGTCCTAACATAGCACTGGATCCTGTACCTGCAGTACCCTGAGAAAGATCACCACATCTAATTCCAAAGGCTGTATTTGTAGATCTCTGTGCTGGATGAAGTCCAAGCATACAGCCCCTGACAGACACATGTGTTAGTTTCAGTAATTTGTTTGAAGAGGGGACCAGAATTCTGCCCCTCTTCTTCATCCCTGCAACAAGAAACATTGTTGAAACTGTGCTAATAGCTGGTCGGATCCTAACCACACACAGACTTCCACTTATGGAACAAGGGTTTCCCATCTACCCTTTCCAGCTGCATCCCATGATATCTTTTGTGTTTTTCAGGACAGGAAGCCATGTCCTATTTATTTTTAAACTCTCTTCTTTCCTGTTGAAATTGTGTTTATGTTTGTGAATTTCAATGGCTTCCCTGTGTAATCTGACATGGTAATTGAAAATGTTGTCCAGCCAAAACATTTCATGTGTAAGAAAAAATATTGATATTTGCATAATAGTATCCTGATGGAAAGTTCAAGGTTGATACAGAATCACTTAAAGCTGCTTGCCAGCTCTTTTTCATGGAGTTTTTTAGAGAATGTTCACCAATAAAACAGCCCTTCTTTGTTTTCAGACGCAGAAAACAGTGTGTTATGATAAACTTCTCTCCTGAAGAACCCTGAAAACACCTTCCAAAGCAACATTGACATTTTAATAAATGTTTCATTTACTCTACCATAAAAAAGATGATGTAACAATAAAAAGGAATATGCAAACTAAACAATTTGGGAAACTTGTCAGAGGTATTCCCTTTTGCATTTTCTCATTACTGTGGAGAGATGGACAGAGCAAATAAAAGATGGTTGGTGTACCGGGAACAGAGTAGGCTGCTGTGCCATGGAAAGATTGTAGGCATTCCAGTAGATCTCTGGAGAGATGAAGGACAACACCTCCCGGTATCTCCCATGGTGTGCTTACTGGTGCAAGTACATGTTTAGCTATTGCCATTATTTAAGCAAAAGATCAGATGGATGTAACCTGGGTGTTGGAACTAAGGATGAGTTCAAGGCAGGGCCATAGCCAGTGGTCAGGCGCTACGGCCGTTGCCCCCTGCAGTGCTCCCTATCGAATCTGGGAGGGGGAGACAGGGTGAGGAGGTATCTCTGACTGCCCCCTGCACCCTTCTTTCACCCCGTGTCTTTGGAAGGTGCTTTTCCTCTGCAGCCAGGTTTATGTAAGCAGCGCTTGCCACTTTCAAAGGCTGGGGTGTGTGCTTCTGCTGTATCCCCCACATGGACTGAACTGTGGCTGGGAGCAAAGGTGGACAGGAGGAAACATCTGTGCCCCCCACCCCATGTGTTTCTGTGGATGCCAGTGTGGGTGAGCAGGCTGGAGACTGGCCCCAGTCTCCGTCAGAGGGGAGACAGCATTTGTCTCCTCGCCACTGATCCTTCGTTTGGTCTCCTGGCTCAGCTGCTGCCACCGCTCATGCAGTGAGGTCTGCCAGTGGTGGCAGTGCCCTACTGCTGCTGCTGGGAGGGTTGCCTAGTTGCATGGCTTAAGGGGGGGGTTTGCATAGAGCAGGACAGGGGAGCTAGAAGAGTACCGGAGGGCTCTTGGTGTGACATGAATAGTGCATGCCATTCCCTTTCACTTCCCTGCTCCTTTATTTTTAATGTAATTTTATTAGTGTCCCCACAATTCCTGGAAAAGGGCCTGGTTCAAGGTCCTGGGCCTCTTTTCTTACAGCTTTCCCCGTTTCTATTCACATATCTTGGTTGAAGCAAAAGAACTGTATTGATTTTAACAGAAGGAAACCCAGTTTGCAGTGTTGGGGATGGGACTTCCCAATTCCCATCCCCCAGACTCCATTCCTTTCCCAAACCACAGGGCCAGAGTCCAAAGTCATGGCCTTACTCACTGTTCTTTAAGAGTGCATGTATGCTGACATCCTTGGTTTCGATAGCATTGTCCTCTGGCAAAACATGGTTCGGCAGAAGGTAGCCCCTGCGGTCCTGCAGGTAGGGTGGTTGACTCCAGATTGGGCAGTTCCTGGGGATTTGTGGGGTGAAACCTGAAGAGGGTGGAGTCTGGGGAGGAGAGAGCCCTCACCATGGTTTTCATTCCATAGCGTCCCCCCTCCAAGCAACCATTTTCTCCAGAGGTACCATCATAATTCTAAGAGATCTCCATGCTACTTGTTGGCAACTCTACTTGTAGGCCAAGTCCTGCCAGCGCTGTTTTGTTGTGGAATCTGGTTCCGCCACAGTTAGGGTTGCCAGCCTCCAGGTGGTGGCTGGAGTTACAATTACAATTGATCTCCAGGCAACAGAGATTAGTTCACCTGGAGAAAATGGCCGGTTTGGAAGGTGGACTCTGTGGCATTGTACCCCACTGAAGTCCCTCCCCTCCCCAAATGCTGTCCTCTTCAGGCTCCACCCCCAAAACCTCCAGGTATTCCCCAACCTGGCGATGGTTAGCTTAGCTGTAGGGTTGCCAGCCTCCAGGTTGGGCCTGGAGACCTCCCACTTTCACAACTGATCTCCAGCTGGCAGAGATCAGCTCCCCTGGAGAAAATGGCTGCTTTGAAGGGGGGACTCTGTGGCATTGTACTATGCTGAGGCCCCTCCCCTCCCCAAACCCTGCCTTCTCCCGGATCCACCCCCAAAGTCTCCAGGTATTTTCCAACCCAGACCTGGCAATCCTACTTAGCCATAGCTCCTCCAAAGTTCTGAGGGCCACCGTCTTCCCTGGGAAATGATTTCAGCCAACAGAGGCAGGAGGGAGAGCTGACATGAGAAGAAATTAGATGGAATGAAAATATACTATGTGGGGAGAATATATATTTTTAAGGGAGTGATTTTAGGAAAGAGAGGATGGGAAGGAAGGCCCGTCGTAGAGGAAATGAGCTGAGCGATGGGAAAGGAAGAGTGAAGAGCGGCCTTAGCAGAAAGAATCCAGTGGGAGTTGCTTTCCTCACAGCTCCTGCCTCTTCAGCTCAGCCCTTCCAGGAAAAAACCTGTAACTTGGACAAAATGTAGAAGCTTCTAGAACCCCCCCCCCCAGTCTTTTTCTTCCACTTCAACAATGACCAGCCCTCATGCCCCACAACCTGCCAAGGTGACAGTCAGCAAAGTAGCTTCATACCCTCCACCCAACATGCAAGTTCAGCAGTTGCTTTGCTCCACCCAGCAGTTTATATTTCCAAATTCAGCAGTTCCGTTGCTCCACCCAACAGTTTATATTCCCAGACTCGATGTGGATTTTACTCACTACGACTAACCGAGGCAAACAGCAGGCATGGACTCTTTACTGCGTTACCCAGGCAAGGTGGTGATCGTGACTGGTGGCACCTCAGGCATCGGTCTGGCCACTGTGAGAGAATTTGGTAAGAACGGCGAGACGTGGGTATGGAGGAGGGGGCAATTCCTGCCAGGAAGGCTTAGGAAGCCTTGCTCCCCGTGGGGCTTGTGAGGTCCCTACTGGCCACCATTTGGGGTGGGGGGCAGGGTTGCCAGCACCAGGCTGGGAGACTCCTGGAGATTTGGTGGTGGAGCCTGGGGAGGACAGGGACCTCAGTGGGATACAATGACATACAGTCCACCCTCCAAAGCAGCCATTTCTCCAGGGGTTGAAAGGAAGCAGACAACCATGATGTATAGTGCCAAAGAAAAAGGTTCTTCATCAACTTGTTAATTTTTTCAGTATTTAGTTTACCGGAAGCAATTCAAACACCACCGACACCAATGAACCATGCATATTACATCTTGTTTCGTGTATACCTTTATCAAAATGGGTAGCGTTGAAATATCTATATAACCTTAATCCATTTGGCAAACACTCTAGTCATATCTCATAGTCACATTAATCAAATCCATTAGTGTGATTTGATGAGTGTGACTATGAGATATGACTAGAGTACTATGCATGGTTCATTGGTGAAGAACCTTTTTACAAGTTGGTGAAGAACCTTTTTTTTTTGGCACTATACATCACGGTTGTTTGCTTTCTTTCAACTTCCATCCCGCGATCTCTCTCGCTTTGGTTTGCATTTTCTCCAGGGGAGCAGATCTCTGTAGTCTGGAGATGAGCTGGAATTACAGGGGATCTCCAGGTGCCCCCTGGAGGCTGGCATCCCTACTCCCTACATCTTTAATCTCGAGTGGAGGGAAATTAGGAGGGTGGGAAATGTGCCCTTTATATCCTCTGAGGCATTTTTTGTCAGTCCTGCAAAAACAAAAAGGAGTCATGTAGTAGCCTGTTCCAGCATAAGGCCATGCGGACTGGAGACTTTTCATTTGCCACGAGGCTCTTCCTGGTGTTATCAAAAGTAACAGGAAGGGATACCTGATCTATGATCTGGAACTGATTCCTTACATGGAAAACAGATGACAAGAACTACCTTGATGAGCTGTGGCTCAAATTCTGGGAATGTGGCGTGGGGGTTCCTATCTTCATAGCAGGCGAAGCTGCACCTGCTGAGTTTCAACCTGTTGTAAAGCTCTTGAACCAGGGCTACCAGAACATGAGGTGGCAATCGGACTGCTGGATGCCCTCTCTGATGCTAGGACTGAGAGCCTGTGGCGGGAGGCGCTGGGTGCCCATATTTCCAGAGCAAGACTGATAGCTTTTTCTGGGCTGGGCCTCAGTGTTGGCAGAAGCTTCCCATCATGTGGAATGCCAGCTGGGGATGCGGTTGTTACTTTTGGGGGGGCGGCGGGAAGGAAGCTTTTGTTAGTGGCTTAACCACAATGAGCCAATGCCAAAGAAGACCAAGGTCATCTTCTTTTAAATCATGTATAAGAGGGGTTTTCCTCCTCGAGGTGGAGTCAAAAGGGAGATCTCTTTGTGCGAGAGGAGATCGAGATGGCCGGTGAGCGGAAGAGGATAACAGTGTTGCTGGCCCGTTCACAATAATACAGCAAGGGCTCTTTTCTTATTTTATTTAGGTTTTTAGATTTTTAGAGTTATTGATTTTTATATCCCGCCCATTCTGGCCTAGGCTGGATCAGGGCAGCTCACATTCATTAGTTTACTTCATTTATACCCCACTTTTCCTTCCAAGTGAGGCCCAAAGTGGTTTACAACATTCTCCTCTTCTCTATTTTACCTCCATAACAGTGACCGTGTGAGATAGGCTAGCTTGAGAGTATATGACTGCCCCCAAGGTAGGGTTGCCAAGTCCTTACCGTAGGTATAGCGGGGGAGTCCGGCACTGCTCCAAGGGTTAATGTGCATGCTGTAATTACATCACCCGGAAGTGACGCAACCACGTCAAGCACGCTGGGGGCAAGGCCACAATCATCCGAGGGAAAACCATAGAGTTTTCCCTCGGATGACCGCCCCCCCACCCCCAACGTGCCCGATGCGACTGCGTCACTTCTGGGTGACGTGCTGACGCCGGGCATGTTGCGTGCTTTAGGGGTGGGGTTCCCCCCCGGACCCGATCCGCCGCCAGCGGGTAACAGGCCTCTCAGGCGGGGGTTTCCTCGCCCCCCGGGGGGACTTGGCAAGCCTACCCCAAGGTCACCCAGCAAGCTTCTGTGGTGTATGGTGGGTTTGCCCTCCTACCATTGGTGACACATTGCCCATGAGCGCTGACATAAGATATTGCCCTTCTGGCATGGTTTTTGGGGCATCATAAGGGTGAAACCCCTAACCTGGATAGCCCAGGCTCGCCCAATTTTGTCAGATCCCCAAAGCTAAGCACGATTGGCCTTGGCTAGTATTTGGGTGACCTCCAAGGAATACTAGGGTTCTGACACTGAGACAGGCATTGGCAAATCATCTCTGAAATGCCTCTTGCCTTAAAATCAAGTCTAGCTCGCCACCTAGTGGTGCATAGCACTACAAGAGCTACAACTTCTGGATGCCAGACAATCTTAGGATCTCCTGGCTATTCTACACACAATGCCATATGATAATTAATTGATTGATTGATCAGGGTGAAGTAAGGGAGACTCAATATCCCCCCTCCCCAGTGCAGAAGTACTACCTGGGAATGGTGCTGTTGGAGAGAATTCATTCCATTGTATATAAAAGGTCATTTTAAAAGTAGCCCTCAGTGCTACTTATCGTCATGGAGGGTTTGCAGGGGGAGTCATCACAAGCAGTCTGATGGTCTGTTCTTGGCGAGAAGATCTTGGCTGCCTCTCCTGAGATTGAAAAGAATTATTTTTTCCCTTGAAGTGTTTGTGGGTTGTTTGAGGGAAGGGTTGGAGACCAAAATGGAGGGAAAGGAAATGAGTCTTTTAAACCAGTCAATAAACCTTGTGGTGCACATCTCTGCGGGTGCCAAGCCTCTGAGTTTTATTTCACATTTTTTTCTCTCCTCACCCTCCAGTTCGCCAGGGAGCCAATGTGGTCTTCTGTTCACGAGCCCGTGGAGGTGAGTCCAGAGCACTTTTCCTCGCCCCACCACGACTGGGTCCCCTTGTTTGTTCAAAACAGGTGTATGCCACCTCCACAGAGAACCTTCTTGTGGCAGCTTACGAAGTCTAACATAGTAAAAGTATAGCACAGCATAAAAATAGTGAATTAAAAAAAAAAAGATTAAAAGCCCAGCCATTAAAAAGCCCAGCCAGAGGATGACAAAACCATAAAACAAGCCTCACGCTTGAAGCAGACTGTAAAAAAAAAATTGTAAAAGAACAACTCCCTTAATTAAAAGCTGAGGTAAAAAGAAGTCTTTGGGGCGGGCAATATGGGAGGAGGTGGCCCTTCAGTGACTCTGGCTCCAGGCCACTGACAGCCTTGAAAGAGAGATCCAAAACTCTGTGTTGACTGTCTCCAGGAGCAGAGGGGTGAGCAGTGCAGAACTCCTGGCCCAGGAGCAATAGGATCCCAGGATCCAGCCCCTTACCTCCCTGTTGGCAGGGAAAAGATGAGCTTTAGGGTAGTCGAGGCAGAGATGAAAGTAAATGGGAATGAGAAGACTGTGGTCAAAGTGGCATTTCCCATCTTCTGCTCAAGCCCTTCGAGAGAGAGGAGACAGGTAAGAAATTTGTCATATTCATCCTTGAGTAGAGTGTTGGTGAATACTTCCCCAGGGAAGGAGGCCGACTATGGAAAGTAGGATCATCGGCCCTTCTTTTTGCTGCACATGATCTGTCTATTCCTCAGCCATCACATTCTTTGTCTTCCCCTGTTCCAGTAGGTAACGCTAGATGGGACACTCTCCCCAAGGAGTTGGTTTCCCCATTTAAAACAGAGTTTATTTATTTAGCAGTTCTTTTAGCCAAATGGAGAAAACCACCAGGATAGAAGAGCAACAGTCTTCAATGCATTTAGCAAACATGCTTGTGTGTACTTAGAGCTCAGGCACAGCTGGAAAGGAAGAGGGAGGGATAAGATGGCAGAGGCTGCACAAAAAAGGCAGGGTTGGAAGGTTTCTCCTGCTGGCAACTGTTCTGTTCTCCCCCCTTGCAGCGGAACAGGGGCGAGCGATTCAGAGGGACCTGCAGGCTTCTGGGTGCCCAGGGCAAGCCTGCTACCAGGTCTGTGATGTTCGCAAGGAGTCAGACATCAAGGTAAGCTAAAACGGGGTGCAAAGTGATGCTTCTTTGGGGGTTCTTCTTCAGCATCTCCACAAAATGTTCTTTCATCTCTGTACAGTGGGGTACCAAGACTATCTGGTGCCCAGGACGGATAATTTTTTAAACCCCCACTCCTTTTTTTGTTGACATCAAGTCATGGCTGACTTATGCTGACCCCGTAGGGCTTTCCAGGCAAGAGATGCTCAGAGGGGGTTTTTTGCCACCGCCTGCCTCTGTGTCGGCCCTGCTTAGCTGCTGAGATCTGATGAGCAGATGCCAGGCTGGGGCTCTCCAGGTCGGAGCCCCTCCTCTATACGACAACAGGATTTTCAGTAATAATCATAAAGTAAAATGAACAATGATAACAGGCAGAAAATAGATTCAGGTGGTTAGCCATGTCGGTCTGAACCAGCAGAACAAAGTTTGGTCTTCAAAGTGCCACTGAACCCAAACTTTGTTTCAGTGGCCAGAAAAGAAACGCAGACAGTGAGGAATTTCTTTTATTCAACTTTGTATATACAATCATGCCAGTAAAAAAATAAATAAATCACATTTCAACACGCTATTCCGTCACAAGAGCCAGGATGGTGCAGTGGTTGAAGTGCTGGAGTAGGATCCGGGAAATCCAGGTTCGAATCCCCCCTCATGCCTTGGAAGCTTGCTGGGGGACCTGAGGCCAGTCACACTACTCTCAGCCT